CTGACAAAGCCTTATTGGAGTTATTAGAAATTAACCTAACTAGAAATGATTTTGAATTCAATGGACAGTTTTATCTTCAAATTAAAATTAGGTACAGCTATGGGAAAGAAAGTTGCTCCAGCCTATGCAAACATTTTTATGGCTGATTGGGAATGGAAAGTGTTGGCCAAGTATTCTTTGCAACCACTAATATATTGCTGTTATTTGGATGACATATTTGGGATTTGGACCCATTCTGAGGAGGAGTTCCATGCTTTTTTCCATGTCTTGAACACTCACGACCCTTCAATTACTCAAATTTAATTTTTTTTTTTAGAATATATAGAAGAAAAAAAAAGGAGAAAAAAAAAGAAAAGAAAAAAGAATTCTTACATTGAGCGTCGGTAGAGCAACTTGTCTCCCAGCTGTTGAGTTTTTGTGCCTCGAATCTGAAGAAGGACGGACTACCATCTGAAACGTTGTTCCGGAGGCACAATTTTTATTTGTATTTTAATTTTTATTTGTATTTATTTATTTTTTTTCTAAAACAAAAAAACAAAAACAAAAAACAAATAATACACAAAACAACAAAAAATATTCAACTAAAATAAAAAAATTGAGCCTGGGTGGACCCTTGCTGCTCTAGGCAGTCTAGACGTTGGACCCGTGGGCTGGGTCCACGTCTTGAAAGTGTCGGGGGGCGGAGGGACATCACCCGGGCGAGAGCCCGTGCATCACCCGTTTCCGGCTGGGGATGGGGCCCTAAACATGATTCTAACCCTAACCCCTAACCCCTAACCTTAACCCCAAACCTAACCCTGACCCTGGCCCTAAACTTAAAGTTTGTATGGAGGATTTTGTTTGCTTCAAATAGTCAGTGATAGATTATAGATGCAGTCGCCTTGTAATTATGATGACCAAAAAAAAAGAGAGTAAAAATTCATCAACTCTGGATGTGGTGGGGCTAAACAATAAACAATAAACAATAAACAATTTGCCAATAGATAAAGACACTGCCTCGTTATCTGTTAGTTGACAGGCTGTCAATCAAACTCCCTACGTTTCTAACGTAACTGACTTGCCTGAGCGCTGCCATTACGTGGTTTACGTACGACACAGACGCTGTTTACTCCACCAACGCAACAGTTCTTAGCGGCTTTTTTGACCTATATCTTCCTCGCAGTTCGCGCAGAGTTTGTTGCGATGGCGACAAGAATCCAGGAGCAGATCGCTTCAAAAGAAAGTCCGTTTTTGAGGTCGCTGAAAGAAGAAGACAAGGGGAAAAGCAGCGAAGCCAAACTAAGGTGATTCTTGGAGATTCATTCCAGCGATGGCGCGACTGAAGCAAACGCAGGGTCTAAAGACTGAAGCACTGGTCCACAAATTACTCCTGGACAGGAAACTTCTGCTTATTATGAAAACGTACTTTATTTCCAGGAGCTAGACAAACGTTTTTCAGGATGCGATACGAATGCGATATCCTATGTCTGAAAACGTAATTTTCAAGGCAAAGAAAGAGTCACTTGCTGCTGCGTGTTGTAGCTTTTTCATTCGCACAGAATCTCCGCGCACCTTCTCTGCACCCCTCCCCTCTCCTCGCTCCTCACCCCATTCCGTTCTTCTCCCTGCTCCTCACTTCTTCTCCGGGCACGAAATCTCTGCCCCCCCCCTCCCCCCGCTCCTCACTTCTCCGTCTTGTCTAACCAACACTGTAGTTAGTTGTTTACAAGTCATGTGCAGCACCGGCTGTAAACAAACCTGTTTCTGGCGTAAGGAGGAGGAGGGAGGAGGCGTTTCTACGTAGGAGCTGTGGGGGAGGGGGGGGGTTTCACACAGGAGCAACAATTGAAAAAGGACAAACAGTCGCTGGATTTCTCATTCCTTGGAAAATCCTCTATACAACCTTTAATGCACATAGTGAGAGGAATATGGCCTATTTTCCTAAACTCCAGAGAATCTTTTGTCACAGAATCAGATCATGTACATTGGAACAGAGAAACTGCAGTGGCCATGTTCAATCATTGGTGCTAATGTTTAAACTTGTAGGCACTTCAAGGTCACAAGCCACAGGGCAAAATCTAATCTCTAATGAACACGAACCACGAAGAAATTTCCAATGGTACCATTAAGACACCCGAAGTTTGCTCACGTCACTTTCATCAAGGTATTTGCTATTTAAATTGATTCAAAGCTTTAATGAAAGAAGCACATTTACTGAACTAAAACTTCATTCATTTATCCAGGAAAACCCACACTAGTTTATGATCCAATGAACCCAGATTGGGCTCCTACGATTAATATGGGGCACGAGTCAACAAGCTCTGTGAGCCGAACTTTGAAAGAATCAGCCATGAAAAGATCCTCGTGAACATTAGATCTGCTTCGCAAAAAGTGATTCATTCTAGAAGACATAGTTGTGGATAAGCAAGGCAATAAAGGCAACATTTGCAGTCTGAGTGACAGTAGAAACTGTATCTTCCAGCTCTCATATAAACATGTCACTTGTTGTTGGACCGATGTTTTCTTTATTGTTGTTTCGAGGTTTATGTTCACTAGCCATAATTCCTGTCTTTTTTTCGATAATTCCCTTGTTTGATCCTGATGAGTCATTTCCAGAGGAACAGTGAAGAAACGAATCGTTTTAACCCTTTCAGAGCGTCTAAAACAACCAAATACACAACAAAACTTGCCCATGTTTCTCCAGTGCTGCTGAAGTCAATGGCATGGTGTGCCTGGTGTCATGGCGGCGTAGTTACCGTTGCCATGGGAGACACGTGACGGTGCAAAGCCTCTATATGCGAGGCAGGTGCCATATTTGGATGTCATGTGGTATGATCTTAAAAAGAAAACAATAATGAAGTTTTATTTTAAAATGTATATTTTGATAATAGAGTTGAAGGTGACCTTTTGTGAGAAACCAGATAGTTTTTGTTAGTGTTTAATGCTTTGCCTGTAAATTTGGACTGAATCTAAAAACATCATGTGGTGTGACCACTGCAGGAAACTTCTCTTGACTCATATACATCGCAGAGTTCTATCTTTTGTGCTTTTAAGTTATTTTCATGATTATTACAAACAATTGATTAATTTTAAAAGACTCTGACTGTGTCTTTGACATATATTTATTTTTAACAGTTTTAAATTTATTTTATCAGATGCCACAGTCAAGCGAAGCAAAGACACTCGTCACAGGAGGCGGGTCAGTTCTGACCCTGCAGCAAGAGCAGAACCAGAACCAGGAGAAGATGGAGTTTTGTTCTGAAATGTGGAAAAGGAAATATTCATTTGAATATAAATATGTACTATTTATCAAGAATGTTGTGAGAAATGAATGTGGATATGAGTGTATTCAAGAGAAGTGTTAGAAAATAGAACAATTGAAAGTTATTCTCAGTCGCACCACATGACGTTTATTAATGTCAGAGCCAATTCATGTCCAAAAAAAACACTCAAAATGCTTCTTATAAATGTTACACATAGATTTATGCAGACTTGACATTGTAAATATTTGAAAAAGTTCAATAGAAACTAATATTTTTTTATATTTTAAAATTTGCTTGTTGAAAATCTTTATTCGTCATTGACCCACACACACAGAAAACAAAAATAACAGTTTAAATAGAACACGTGAAGAATAAAGATTTATACTTACAAATAATTCAAGTTACATATTAAACCTTTGTATATCAGATTTCCCAATATAATGTGTTCCCAACATTTTTTTTTTTCAAACTGAAACACTCTGTTCCACCTTGTGATGTCATCCTGTGTGTGATACAGGAAATGTTCTACTGTGTTTTTAAACTTAAAACCTTCATTAAAATCAGAAAAGAAAAAAAAAAAAAACACTTTGTGAAACCACAAGGTGGACCTGGGTTAGACCTGGTATAGACCCGGTTTCAGTGTTGGTATAGTCCTGGTTTAGTACTACTTTAGTCCTGGTTTAGACCTGTAATACAGGAAGTGCTCCACTGTGTTTAAACTCCACACACCTTCACTGGAATCATCTGGATCATTTCAGTCCTGGAGTTGCTGATCTTGACTCAACTAAAGGGAAAAAGCTGAAAACATATAAAAAAAAACAACCACTTCATGACATCACAACAGAGCGTTTGGAGCTTTGGAGATGCAGACAGACTCATAATAAAGAGTCACTCAAACATTGGTGAGATAACAACATTATAACTCAGCTAAAAGCTCAAGAGTCCATTTTGCGATATATATATATATATATATATATATATATATATATATATATATATATATAGATACTGCGCAGAACTCTCAAGCTCCCAGGCCTCTGATAGAGGACCCGAGCTCAATGAGGGTGAGAGAGACCTACCACCGTGGAAGGTGAGAAACACATTTTTATATATATATATATATATATATATATATATATATATATATATATATATATATATATATATATATATATATATATATTATAGGATAAGCGGACAAAAATGGATGAATATATATATAGGATTTAAATTATTTTGACCATTAGCACACAAACTGTACAACAGTTTATTATTATTATTATTATTATTATTATTATTATTATTATTAACTTTGTTTTTATTAATTTTAACATATCACAGGTTGTACATCATAGTCACTTACAAATCTGATGACACATAGAAACAACAAATGTACAAGTACATTTAGAGACCAAACAATGTAGGAAAAAAAATATATTAATAACAGAAATAATTATACATATACAATTATAACAGATAAAACAAGTCTAATAATAATAATAATAATACAAATCTCTCACCTTTTCAACACAACAGTTTAATTCTCTCATCTCTTATTTCTGGACATTTATCTTCTTTTCTACTTATTTTCTTTTATGTTTCCAGCCATAGACCGTATTTCTTTTGTACAGTTCTACATCTCTTCTTGTCTTCTTTTCTTCAGTCTTTTATCTTTTCTCCGTCGTCGTACGTGTCCCGGGGCTGCAGTTCCTCCGCGCTCCGCCAGGCCGCAGCAGCCGCGGCGGAGGCGGGCCTGGGCGCGTTGTTTTCGGGAGGGCGTTCCTCTGAGGACTCGGTCAGCGCCACGGTTCTCTCGGTCTGTCGCCTCACGCACATCTGAGACTCTTTTACCCGGTCGTAAACCCCTCTACTCGGTCACTCTCTGCTCGGATCCGCGGCGTGGGTGGTGGTCGGGGCGCGTCTGCCTTTCTCCAGCCCCGGAGGGAGGCTCAGTCCCGGGCAGAGGAGACGGACCAGGCCGCAGACATGGAGGCCCGCCGCAGGACGGTACGAGGGGGCAGGGGGGGGGATCCGACTCTCGCTTTCGTCGATCAAAACAAACCCATGATTAGCTGTTTATGGTTTTCGTGTTTCACGTGAGGAGTAAACGTTGATCTGCTCGTGATGTGACGGACTCGTGCTTTTGTTTGGGTCCAATTCATGAAAAAGTCTCGTTTGTGCTGCAGCTTTGTCCTGTTCCGCTCGCCTCGGAGCACAGTGTGCACGCCAAAGCTCCGGGCCGCTTCACATTCTGCTATTACTATATTATTACTACATTATTACACCCAAAAGAGGGCAGAGTATTGGAAATGTACTCAAGTAAGAGTATCGTTACTTTAAAGGCCTCATATTCCGCTTTTCTCTGCTTCTGTTCCGCGTTTCCTCGTCACACTCAGACCTGGAGTTGTGTTTTGTTTCTTTCACATGTTTAACACAAACCTGCACATTTAACACGAGTTCATCTCTCAAATTGAAAACACTCTGTTCCACCTTGTGATGTCATCATGTGGTGATGCAGGAAGTGCTCCACTGTGTTTTTAAGATCCACACACTAGAATCATGTGGATCATTTCAGTCCTGGAATCTCTCCTGAACTAAAGGAAAAAGGAGCTGAGAACTTAAAAAAACAAACAAAAAAACTCCACTTCATGACATCACAAGGTGGAACAGAGCGTTTGGAGCTTTGGAGATGTAGACAGAGTTACTCAAACATGTGTGAATGAAACAAAACACAGCTCCAGCTCTGTTTTTGAGGAGGGAAGAATCACAAAAATAATTTTTGTGTAACATAGAACCTTTTAAATCAGACCATAAATTAAAACCAAAAGTAAAGCTCCAAGGGTGAGTTACTAATATAAGAGTTATATAATCTTACACTGCAAAAAAGCTTGACCAAAACATAAGATCTAAACACTTAAATCTATCAGAAAATAACTTAAATGTGTTGAAATGATGCATTCATGCAGCAAGATTATTTTACTGGACAAATTCTCTTCAAATAAACGACTTCTAGACGAGGAGGAAGCGTCTGTGCTCAGTGTTCATGGGCTGGAAATAAGTTTATGATGCTAAGTTTGAGATAAACAGATTTAAAACAAGTTCAGGATGAGTGTTTATGGGCTGATAATAAATTTAAAGACACTAAATTCTAGATATAAGTTCTTGAAATCAGTCGAACATGAGAGTCGTTCGTCCGTTCATACTAATCAAAAAGCAAGTGTTGCAGGGGAAACTCTGGTAAATGGATTGTAGCTTCTCTTAAACATTTATTGCCTAAATTTAACATTTTCTAACAAGTTGAGCCATGGAAGAAATATATGTGAAAATTTTTAATTTTGATTTTACAGCCAATTCAGAACGAGTAAGTCAATCATAAATCTAAAAAACAAGATGAAAAACCTGATAGAAGGTTTAAAATCGTGGCCAGATCAGAGAAATTTGCAGTGAGCTGAAGAAACATAGTGCACAAACTGTATTAAAGCTGCTGTATGTAACTTTTCTGAGAGATGGTCTAATGTTCCACAGTATGGCATTAGTCTTATTTATTGCATCTTTTCAATTACATGTATTTAAGTAACATCGTGATCTAAATATTTTATGTGTTAATTAAAATGTTCAGGGCTGAAAAAAAACAAACTGCAATTTCCATCATATTTGTGATTTATTTATTTATTTTTTTTTTTTTTGTGACTTAAGTTTTTTGGTGGAGGGTTCATCAAATGTTTTTCTCCATGGAATTGTTATTGCTCCACAGTTTTCACAGTCTGGTATTAAACCATGGAGACCAAGTTACACGTCAGATCTGTGGAGAGGCGACCCCGCTCACAGTCAGAAGGCCTGATTTTCTAAGTATTTCTGAGCTATAAAACCACCTGTAATTTAATAAATATAAGGAAGAGTTGTTTAATGTCACACTGTGGAACATTCCAGGCAGAGCAGTGACATCTCCATAGAAACAAGCAGGTGACGGACCCCAACAAAAAAGCTACACAGTGCAGCTTTACCGTTTGAGAGAAGACTGAAATCTGATCTGCTAATCCAAGAATCCCATGCATTTCAGAACATGTTTGTACTAGTGTCTAAAAAAAAAAAACTCTTTCAATATGAAGGACAGACTTTATTCTTGATGCTGATTCTGATACCAACATGATTAAAAACCCTCTTTCTTTAAACAGTATTTTCTGATTTTCCACATTAAATGGTAGAACTTTCCTTTCTGTTCCCATGTGTCCCTATATCTGTGTGACCCCTCAGTGGTCCAGGCGGGTCCCTCAGTGGTCCAGGCGGGTCCCTCAGTGGTCCAGGCGGGTCCCTCAGTGGTCCAGGCGGGTCCTCAGTGGTCCAGGCGGGTCCCTCAGTGGTCCAGGCGGGTCCCTCAGTGGTCAGGCGGGTTCCTCAGTGGTCCAGGCGGGTCCCTCAGTGGTCCAGGCGGGTTCCTCAGTGGTCCAGGCGGGTCCCTCAGTGGTCCAGGGAGTTCCTCAGTGGTCCAGGTCCTCAGGTTCTCAGTGTCCAGGGAGGTCCTCAGTGGTCCAGGCGGGTCCCTCAGTGGTCCAGGCGGGTCCTCAGTGATCCAGGGAGGTCCCTCAGTGGTCCAGGCGGGTCCCTCAGTGGTCCAGGCGGGTTCCTCAGTGGTCCAGGGAGGTTCCTCAGTGGTCCAGGTCCCTCAGTGGTCCAGGCGGGTCCCTCAGTGGTCCAGGCGGGTCCTCAGTGGTCCAGGCGGGTCCTCAGTGGTCCAGGGAGGTCCTCAGTGGTCCAGGCGGGTCCCTCAGTGGTCCAGGGAGGTTCCTCAGTGATCCAGGGAGGTCCCTCAGTGGTCCAGGCGGGTCCCTCAGTGGTCCAGGGAGGTTCCTCAGTGGTCCAGGCGGGTCCCTCAGTGGTCCAGGGGGTCAGTGGTCCAGGCGGGTCCCTCAGTGGTCCAGGCGGGTCCCTCAGTGGTCCAGGCGGGTTCCTCAGTGGTCCAGGCGGGTCCCTCAGTGGTCCAGGGAGGTTCCTCAGTGTCCAGGGAGGTTCCTCAGTGGTCCAGGCGGGTTCCTCAGTGGTCCAGGCGGGTTTCTCAGTGGTCCAGGCGGGTCCCTCAGTGGTCCAGGGAGGTTCTCTCCAGGGAGGTTCCTCAGTGGTCCAGGCGGGTTCCTCAGTGTCCAGGAGGTCCCTCAGTGGTCCAGGCGGTTCAGTTTCCTCAGGTCCAGGGAGGTCCTCAGTGGTCCAGGCGGGTCCTCAGTGGTCCAGGGAGGTTCCTCAGTGGTCCAGGCGGTCCCTCAGTGGTCCAGGCGGGTCCCTCAGTGGTCCAGGCGGGTCCTCAGTGGTCCAGGCGGGTCCCTCAGTGGTCCAGGCGGGTTCCTCAGTGGTCCAGGCGGGTCCCTCAGTGGTCCAGGGGGTCCAGGTTCTCAGTGGTCCAGGGAGGTTCCTCAGTGGTCCAGGCGGGTCCTCAGGTCAGGTCCCTCAGTGGTCCAGGCGGGTCCCTCAGTGGTCCAGGCGGGTCCTCAGTGGTCCAGGGGGTTCCTCAGTGGTCCAGGCGGGTCCCTCAGTGGTCCAGGCGGGTCCCTCAGTGATCCAGGGAGGTTCCTCAGTGGTCCAGGCGGGTCCCTCAGTGGTCCAGGCGGGTTCCTCAGTGGTCCAGGCGGGTTCCTCAGTGGTCCAGGGAGGTTCCTCAGTGGTCCAGGCGGGTCCCTCAGTGGTCCAGGCGGGTTCCTCAGTGGTCCAGGCGGGTTCCTCAGTGGTCCAGGGAGGTTCCTCAGATCCAGGAGGTTCCTCAGTGGTCCAGGGAGGTTCCTCAGTGGTCCAGGGAGGTTCCTCAGTGGTCCAGGGAGGTTCCTCAGTGGTCCAGGCGGGTTCCTCAGTGATCCAGGGAGGTTCCTCAGTGGTCCAGGGAGGTTCCTCAGTGGTCCAGGCGGGTCCCTCAGTGGTCCAGGCGGGTCCCTCAGTGGTCCAGGGAGGTTCCTCAGTGATCCAGGAGGTTCCTCAGTGGTCCAGGGGTCCTCAGGTCCAGGAGGTTCCTCAGTTCCAGGTTCTCAGTGGTCCAGGCGGGTTCCTCAGGTCCAGGCGGGTTCCTCAGTGGTCCAGGCGGGTTCCTCAGTGGTCCAGGCGGGTTCCTCAGTGGTCCAGGCGGGTTCCTCAGTGGTCCATGGGTGTATACAGGTCTACGTGCTCTTATACTTGTTCTGATGCAGCTCCAGATGATTCAGGAAAGCTTCATTTCTTTCCTGTCAATGGGAGTTTTTTATTGTCAATAACTGAAAAATGAGGATCTAGTTTCTAATATTAGAGTTGATCAGTATTTGATTTAGATTCCTTTGAGAGCCCGTAGTTTGTCGAGGTCTAAACTACAGGGTTAGGGTTAGCAGCAGGATATATTGTTTACTTTGTTTTACTTCAGGACTGTAGTTCTTTAGCGCTTTAGTCAATTATCGCTCGATGGAGTATTAACTCTTCTAGCCCGACGGTGTCGTATACGATACTTGGGAGTATTTTTTTTTATATAACCTGCACTTTGCCAAAGAGTGTAGTGAGTCAAAACGGTCGATGTTCTGAGCATCTGAGTCCAGAACAAGTGAAAAAGTCGCTCTAAGTGCAGAGATTCTCATAAATGGAAAATCCAAACAAATCCAAACGTAATAAACTCATGGAAACACAGAAGTGACGTGTCTCTGAGACCTGGACCTGACTCCAGCTGTTTCCACGACCTGCACCAGTCGAGTCATGGGGACAATGTACGTTTTTTGTTTTGAGGCAATAAGGAGATTTTTAGTTTATTTAAAGACTTGATATTTTGATCTTCTGTAGCTCTGGTCTGAAATTAAACATTTTTATATCCAAATGTTTTTTCTACTTGTTTGTGTGAAAGAGAGGGTTTTTTTTTTTTTTTCATGTGTATTTCTGATCCTGTAGTTTTTATTTCAGCCACATGACACGAGTCCAGCAGCAGATTGTGAAATAACAGACAGAAGTGAAAAAAAAGATGTTTAACACTGTGAGTTTTAAACTAAAAATTAAGAAAAACATGCAGGTGAGGACAAATGTACTAAAACTGTTTGTGGATTGAAATTTATAAACTAAAGTTAAAGATGCACTGGGGAAGGGTACATCACGACTGTGGAACATTCTAGACAAAACAATTAATCTCCATGACGACGAGCAGGTGACAGACCCACCACCTTATGTGACATAAACAGCCAGAAAAATCAAAATAAAACTTTACATGAATTGTACTTTTTTGGAGTAAAGATTGAATGGAACTTACTGAATTTTGCTTCTAAAATTGTTATTATTTTGCATTCCCATAGTTAAATTGTGACCTGAATAATTACAATGATCAAAAAACTATATAAAAATCAAATCTTACAGAAATACCTAGAGTCAATTGTCTTCACAAGTAAACCACAGATATTAATTAAATTTGTTTTATGATCGTATCAAAATAAAAGGTAAAGATAAACGATATTTTTGCCTTCTTTGTCATTATTAGTAGTTTGTATCCATAATACAGAACAATACAAGAACAAAAAGAAATTGGGTTAAAGTGATATTTAGTATGTAATGTTTTTTGTCATATGTAAATATTTGTAAATTTTCGTCATCAATGTTCAGAAGCAAACACGTCATTTTTGAATTTTTGAAACATAAAAGGGGCGGATTAATGTAATTTTTTTTCTTCTTCCCACTTATTTTTGAGAAATGTGCTTTTGTTTTGTTTATAATAGTAATATATGTAGTATGTGTATGATCATTGTTTCCGTCTTGGCACAAACTCAAAATAAAACCAAATCAAATCAAATTATGGATAAACCTAATGAGAGCTTTTGCTACGGCCCCTCATAGTCGATCAATCGGCAGTGTGTCTTTATTCAAATACAGCTCTAAAGTATTTTCATAACAAAACACTGAACTAAATAGAAGTGTTTATGATTCTTTCTTGTGTTTTTAGTGAGGGGACAACCTTGAGTTCTTCGAGATGGACATGCCACCTTTGTATCTGCCCATTAAGAAGAAGAGTATCCAGTGTCCAGGCAAGTTTCCAAACAGAATTAGAGAGAAAATGTGTGTGAAAACATCTAACCTAACTTTGTTTTGTCAACAGTTGTTCAAGAGACGCATAGAATTTGTGATATGAAGGTAATTCACATTTTATTTGGTCAAATATGTTTTATCTGGAAAAATAGATTCAGTTAATGCGTCTGTAATGATTAAATAGTCAAATATGTAGACAGAGGACAGTGGTGCAGAGGAGGACAGTGGTGCAGAGGAGGACAGTGGTGCAGAGGAGGACAGTGGTGCAGAGGAGGTCAGTGGTGCAGAGGAGGACAGTGGTGCAGAGGAGGTCAGTGGTGCAGAGGAGGACAGTGGTGCAGAGGAGGACAGTGTGGTGCAGAGGAGGTCAGTGGTGCAGAGGAGGTCAGTGGTGCAGAGGAGGACAGTGGTGCAGAGGAGGACAGTGGTGCAGAGGAGGACAGTGGTGCAGAGGAGGACAGTGGTGCAGAGGAGGTCAGTGGTGCAGAGGAGGACAGTGGTGCAGAGGAGGTCAGTGGTGCAGAGGAGGTCAGTGGTGCAGAGGAGGACAGTGGTGCAGAGGAGGTCAGTGGTGCAGAGGAGGACTAGAGGAAGAGTAGAGGGTTAGAGGAGCAGAGGATGAACTGTTGACACTTCTGAAGGAAATAAACATTTTAAAATATATTTTTTTCATTGGCACTAAATCTAAATTCTCTTTACTTCTCTAGAATGACGGTCCAATGAATCAAATGAACGGAACAAAAAGGTATTTCTAACTTTGTCACTGTTCCTTCTTTGGACCTCGTCTGAGGTTCTGTCGCAGCATCAGAAACCTCAAAGTCCCTGAACATTTATGTCAGTGAGAAGGTCCATTCTCCTGCTGTGTTTATCCAACCACACCACACCTGGGAGGGCATCTGACACACCACCACACCTGGGAGGGCATCTGACACACCACCACACCTGGGAGGGCATCTGACACACCACCACATCAGCAGATTCACTAGAGACGTGTGACCTGCCCCCATCTCAGTCTGGCACTACAGGGACACAGGAGGATGGGAGGGCATCTGACTCACAGGATACAAAAAATATAGTCACGTTTTCATGAGAGCTTTAATTGTGAATAAAAATGAATTCCTCTTTAAAAGTTCATGTAAACACTTAATTCCAAATGAAAATTATTATTGGCAATTAAACTTAACTCTGAAGTAAGTGTTTGGTTTATTCCGATTTTAAAGCCAAAAATGAATTTCATTCCTGGATCATGTTTGTCGTTTGTTCTTCCTGCTCGTGTTCTTGGTGCTTCGGCGTTGCTCGTTCTGTCTCCAGCTGCTGCTTCACAATTATCATCGGAACCACTGCGGGAAAAGTTTGGATGGTGTTTGTGTCTGTGGAGTAACGACAAAAAACCCGGGAGCAGCTGAAGTGTGTGTTTTCCTCCCAAAGACCAAAATCCGTTGGTGTCTCTGTCCAATGAGATTCATTTGGTCTTCTGATATTCGATGTTATTAGGTTCTTTTTCTCAGACCTAGAGTGTTATTTCATACCTGACAGTTTCGACTGCAGGTGGCGCTGTCGTCCTGCCTCCACTGGTAGGAAGACAGCGCCAAAACCTGTTTAAATCAGCTGACCAGACACGTCACAGCAACATCACGTGACTCTGAGGAAGACGCTCGTGAACAGTCCAAACTGTCAGGTATGAAATAACTCTCGGTCTGAGAAAAAGACCGACGCTCAGACGCATTAAATAAACAACAATTCAACATTATTATTTACACAGAAACTACAACGACAAGATTTGAATTCAGAACTATTTATCCAGAACTAAACATCATGCAAACGTGACCATTAATTACATTTAAAATATGCTTAATTTTAATCATGTATTTTCTGATTTCTTAACAGATTTGAGGCCCATCCGAGGGTCCCGTTAACGACCATTGATTACCCATCCACCAGCTGCTCTGTGATGTCATCGGCCCCTCTGTCCAATGGCGCGGCTCCCGGCTTCATGATCCCGCCTCCTCCTCTGGTGCTCCAGGGCTCCGGACCTCACAGGGACCCGGGCTGGAACTGTACCCAGGATCGGAGCTCTGACCCCTGGGCTCCCGGGCGAGAGGCCTGGGGCGGCCGGAAGGTCCCTGCCTGGGGGTCCAACCGAGACGGAGGTACAGGTGTGTCCACGTTTCACTGTGGTTAAACCACACTTCAATTTGTCACAGTTTTTAACCACGTTATAACTGTTTCCTCTTAACTCTGACCCTCTGAAGTTGGATTTGGAGTGATTCATGTTTAAGGAAACTATAATCTCTTTTTCAAGACTCCATTTTGTTGTTCTCCTCCTGTGTTCATTTCCAAATCCAAATCCACTTTATTTCTACAGCACATTTTACAAACAAAACAGTTTCCAAAGTGCTGCACAGAGATCATAAAATGAACACAACAAAAAGGTAAATTGCAAAAATTTGGTCATACCAGTCCTAAAGCAATAAAACCAGTAAAATCAAAACCAGAAAATCATAAAATAGCAGTAAAATAAGTAAAATTAATAAATTCAATAAAAGTCAGAGGAGCACATGACTCATGTGGTGTTAAATCCAGAGAGTAAAAGTAGTGTGGGGGGGGGGGGGGGCTGTTGGGACGTGGGGGGGGCAGTTCCAGAGATTGGGGCCGGTCACAGAGGAGGTCTTGTCCTCCTGGTTTTAAGTCTCGTCTTAGGCCTCATGAGCTGGATCTGGATCTGGATCTCGGACCTCAGAGCAAAGGGGATTAAATCTGGATAAGGTCTGAGATGTAAAGTGGAGCCAGTCCATTCAAAGCTTTAAAAACAAAGAATAAAATCTTAAAATCAACTTTAAAACAAACTGGAAGCCAATGCAATGACACTAAAATTGGGGTAATGTGCTCAAGTTTTTTGCTTCTAGTTAAAAGTCGCACAGCAGAATTTTGGACCAACTGTGAGCGGTAAAGTGCACGAGGCTGATGCCAGAAAAAAGTGCATCACAGTCGTCTAAAGGAGAGGAGATAAAAGTGCTTGAATTGTTCAGGACCTCCTTGAAAACGAGATGGTGACACATCTCAAGGGGCTTATCCTCCAAACAAATAAATAAAAATTCTAATGATTTAAAGGAAAAAAACGGTTTAATTTTAGATAAAAGCTGTAAATGTTAAAAATCAGATTTTACAACCGCAATCAAATTTAAAATCACTGTCAGTAGTGACGCCAAAGTTGGTGACAGACAGCTCCAGCGGTACACGCCCGCTGTGAAATACACGCCCGCTGCGAAATACACGCCCGCTGTGAAATACACGCCCGCTGCGAAATACACGCCCGCTGCGAAATACACGCCCGCTGCGAAATACACGCCCGCTGCGAAATACACGCCCGCTGCGAAATACACGCCCGCTGCGAAATACACGCCCGCTGCGAAATACACGCTCGCTGCGACGTGTGCGACGCGTGCGCTCGCTGCGACGCTGAAGTCGTCGCACTTGTTTCTTTATGAAGTGGTTTTAGATCATTATAGATTTAAAATGTCACAAAACCCCATGAAAACTCGTGAAAACACATTTCTAATGAATGTGACTTTACTAGATGCAGGAAGACAAGGATTTGGAACAGATTTTCAACCACAACCACAACCAGGACCAAGTACTGGACCAGGACTAGACCCAGGTCTCCAGGCGGGACCAGACCGAGGATGGACCCCTGCCCCAGAGCGAGAGGAGCGCTGGAGGGAGTCGCAGTGGAGCAACAGACCCCCCGTCATCAGCAACGGTGAGTAGGACTGAGCCAGACGGAGAAAAAAACAGGAAAAAAGAATCACGATTTTTTATTTGACACATAGACAAGTGAACTCAGGCATTAAAATCCAAGTGTTTGTTTTTCAGGTCCAAATGCAGCTGTGGCTGGACCCTCCTCTGGACCCTCCTCTGGACTCTCCTCTGGACCCTCCTCTGGACCCTCCTCTGGACTCTCCTCTGGACCCTCCTCTGGACCCTCCTCTGGACCCTCCTCTGGACCCTCGTCTGGACCCTCGTCTTCTCCGATCCCAGGACCCTCCTCTGGACCCTCCCCTGGACCCTCGTCTTCTCCGATCCCAGGACCCTCCGGACTCCAGTCCAGTCCAGACCTCAAACCATCCACTAGTCTGGGGAGGAAGGAGCCCCCAGTTTACCCCCCAGGTAGGACCAGGACTGCACCAGGACTGCACCAGGACTACACCAGGTTTAAACCAGGACTAAACCAGGACTGTGTCTCTGTGTGTGCAGGGAGCCAGGAGGAGCAGTGGCAGACCCAGATCTCAGCCAAAGGGCGGGTCACGTGTCCTCGGTGTAAAAGCGTGAGCCGGAAAACCGTGGAGGGACTGAAGAAGCACATGGACTCGTGCCGAGCGGTCAGTGAACCCGTCACGATAAATACTCATCGTTAAGTACGCGACAGATGGAACCATTCAATATTTATTGTGGGGAATTTGTCTTTGTACAACAGAAAAATAAACCCACATTTTCCAACTAGTGCAGTGAGATTTGAGCTGTAGGGTTTGGGTAAAGGCCGCCACACACTACAGGGGGATTTGCCCATTTTGGCTGCGATTTACTTCAGACTTCAGGGAGTCTTTCTGCCGTCGTGTGCAGTTTTGAAGCCGCTGTGCTCCATCAGCAACAGCAGTTTTGAGATCGGAGATTTAAAATCTCATCAGATTCTGCTCATGTCTGTGGTTCGTGCTTTTTGTTGCACGTTTAAAAAACGTTTAAGAGCAAAAAATCCTGAAGTGCGTGGCAGCCTTTAGGGTTGAATTATGAAATTCTCTCTTCTTTATAGACACAGACTAACTAAAAAAGCTGCACTGTGTAACTCTTTGGTTGGGGCTCCGTCACCTGGATGTGGGACTGTGAGTGGGGTCGCCTCTCCGCAGATCTGACCTAGAAATTGATCTGGTTTGTCCTCCATGTAGAGATGCTGCGAAAAAGCTGAAGATAATTAAATCTATCAGAAAATGACTTAAAAGTGGTAAAATCATCTTGCTACATGGACAAATCATTTTACTTGACAAGTTATCTTAAAATAAATGATTTCTAGATTAGAATTCAGTCTCTCACAACTAGTAAGTAGACAAGTAGTAGAACAGATCAGAGAAATTTGCAGTGTAGAAAGGTTTAATGCCATACTGTGAAACATTCCAGACAAAGCAATAACAACTCCATGGAGAAAAGCATTTTATAGATGCTCCACCAGAAAAGTTACACAGTGCATGAAGCTGTTGCTGTTATTGGTTTATTGATTCATTGCAGCTCATGTTTTTAACAGCTTTGTACGTTTAGAGGATGTGTTTGGGGATAATTCTGCTGAATGATTTTTCTTTAATATGATTGTTTATTGTCTTTATTTGCTTATGACCCCATGACAAAAAAACAAACAAACCACTGTTTTAAATTGTATTTAGAGTGATTCCTGCATGTTTAAGAGGAGGTTTTCAGCAAAAAGGACTTCTTATATCTTTCTCCCGTGTTCTAATGTTCCTCATCAAAAAACTTCAAGTGAAAAAATACACAGCACATTCAGACGGCCGATGTCCAAAAGCTTTTTTTATTTTCAAATAACATTTCAGCAAAAAAGCCCTCTTCAGATCATTTTTTCTTGCTTTGAACCTCAGTACCAAAGAGCAAAACAAAAATTATCTGGCCAAGGCTTTTTTGCTGAAATGTTATTTAAAAATACAAAAAGCTTTTGGACATCGGCCATCTGACTTTTATTTTGCTGTTTCTTGCATTTGCACCTCTACAAGAACTTTGGTGTGCATTTTTTGTTTCATTTGCCTCATTCAAAACCGGCCTGAAGAGATTTTAGAATCATAAATGGAAGTTTGATTAATCTAGCGAAAACCCTCCTTACGGTTGGCAGTAGGAGCCTGTACGTGGCTCCGCCCACAAGTCTATGTCACCCATGCTCCCACGCGACAATACTCCATAAATATACAAAAACATTTAAAATGTATATAACATATTCATACATTGTTTTTGGTGAATATAGCATTTTCAGAAGCTGAAGTTGTAATTCTTCTGGGACCTGTTTTCCAGGAGCCGTACACGTGTCCTCACTGCGGTAAACAACTCAAGACCAACACAGGGATGAAGTACCACATCATGGCCGACCACAGTCTCCTGGTCAGACTTCCTTCTCTTTCATTTCTCTTTTATATCTATATCCAACTTTAAAGTCTCTCTACCTGATTTTTACCATCTTAAACATGTGAAAAACAGAAGTAGTTCATTTTAAAAAGCTTGCAATGGTCCAAAGTTATTCCTCACGTACCTTCTGCATTCAGAGCACAAAACAAATAAGTAAATGAAATGAAATAATAATTATTCATTGATGATCTGTTTCTATACATTCTGTGAAGATTTGAGGTTATTTCAACAAGAATTGCCAAAATTATGTCACATTTTTTTGGGACCCCCTGTATATCTGTAATGGGGCAAGACGAGTTTTACTCAAACACGTGGGGAAAAATCAGGTTTGGGGACTTTTTGTTTATTTTGTTGTTTTTGGCCTCAGCCTTCGTCAGACGCCAAAGACATGGACGACCGAGCCACAAAAGAGAAATTGAGGAAGATCCTGAAGAGGCTGGGAAAGCTCAAGTGCTCCAGAGAGGTACCAGACACACACGTGTGAAAGGGGACTGTAGTGGACTAGAGCGTTAAGGCTGCCACACACTACAAGATTTTCCAGTCTTAAACGACTTTTAAACAAAATGTGCACACCAGATTCTAAATCTCTGGAGTCTGCAGACTGCAGGGGGATCTGTGTGTGGAGCTCAGGATATAAAAGTGTCTCCAGTCGCTCTGAGACTCTTAAGTGTTCAAAGATCAGAACTCTGCACTTCTACTTTAGACACAGTAACACAAAACTGTATTATTATTATTTGTCTTCAGATACAGGATCAGCAACACTCACGCACAATATTCATACTATGTGCATGAAGTGTCTTGCCTAGGGACACAACATCAGTTTCAACTAGAGCCAGTATATTGTTCAGTGTATTATTTTGTATATTTGAGAATATTTGTGTGTTTTCTGCTCAGGGCTGTGGCGCGGGCTTCACCAGTGTCATGGGTTACCTGTACCACACCAGGACCTGTGGGAAACAGCAGGACGAGCTGGAGAAGCTGGTGCTGAGCTGCTCTCACTGTGGAAAGAACTACAGGTCCAAGGCCGGACTCGAGTACCACATCCGTAACGAGCATGCGCCGGTGAGACACTTTAACCTCCTCCAGAGAGAGCAGAGTTCCACTTTAACCTCAGAGGAGGTCAAATAAGCACCATGCTTTGTGACAGTGACGTTCTGTAAAGGAACAGACGCAGTTTCCAAGTGCAGAAATCAGCTGACTCGTTTCTTTCATTGTTTTTTTTTTTTCAGATACATTTTTCCATTTAAATAACCAAAATACACATAATAAAAGACAGATCAAACTGATTAAATATTATTTAACTATATAGCTGACAAAAGCACAATATGTCTCCTTAAAATGAGAATATGAACAGTTCTGTGTGTCTGTGGAATCCCTCAGTCATTCAACTCTGATCTGGAGCAAAAAGAGCAAAACTTTATTCACTGGACAAAAGTTTTAGGGTGAAGACGTTTGGCCACTTGACGGCTTTTTCAGTTCTGGTCAGACGCTGGTGGACTCTGCCTTATATCTGTCTGAAGGGAAGTTCTTCTGTGTGTGTCCAGGCTCCGGAGGACTCGGAGCAGCAGACCCAGCCTCTCGACGACGTCTCCCCAGAGACGTCAGCCTGCGGTCGGGCGAAGAGGGCCTCGGCTCAGGCCGCCAACATCCAGATGGCCCAAATCGCCCAGAATGAACTGCCCAAGGACTGGGGCAAGAGGAAGTTCCAGTCTGATTTGGTGCCAGAGGACCACAAGGTGAGGCTAACCACTCTGCCAGTCAAATCAGGAGTCTAACCCACAACCTCCTGAGATAAACCCAAAGCCAAACCGCAGTAATTAATATTTTGCAGAGACATCACAGTGGGGGGTGTTCTACACATGTCTCTATGATGAATGTTCTTTGGTTTCCATGGTGACACAAAGCAAACATTAAGAAACACTGCCAAAAAGTTTTAAGAAATGAATTTAAAGAGCACGTTTTCAGGAGCCTGTGATCAGTCCGAGCGTTCGTGGTTCTGGTTGATTTTCAACAAAACGATGAGAGTGACTCACTGAAAAACTGTTGTCATATTAGAGACTTTTTAGCAGCACAAATCAGATCACCTATTGTAGTTCAGGTCAGTCAGGTCTTTAAAGTCAGACTGTTTTAAAATAAAGCTCAGATTAAAGTCTAACAGGGCTCAGATAGAGCAGTGCCTTCAGTTAGCATCACACCCCCAGTGAACAGTAACGACATTAGCTGCAGACAGACCCGGAGTCTAACCCACAGCCTCCGCTTTGGTTACAGCTGCAGTACACGCGCCCTGGCCTGCCCTCCTTCAGTCAGGATGTTCTGAAGAAATGGAGGAGTGAAGTGAAAATGTACCGAAAAGTCCAGTGTCCGAACCCGGTACACTTTATGTTTCTATTTTTCCTCCATCTATGAATGATTTTTGTTTTTGTTTTGGAGAAAATATTGATGTATTTGTTGGTTTTCAGGGCTGTGGCTGCACCTACACCAGTGTGTCCGGACTCAAAGCCCATCTGGGACTTTGCACCAAGGTATCCGACCATTTCATTTCACTACGTTTTGATTTTTAAAGGTCCCACATTACGCCAAATGGACTCTTGAAGTTATCGCTCCTTGTTTTCAGTAGTTCACATTTGGAAAGCTGTTTTTCTTGATGTAATTTTGTTGTTGTGCGTTCAGGGGGATTTTGCAGCTGGGAAATATCGGTGTCTGATCTGCAGCAAAGAGTTCAATTCAGAGAGTGGAGTCAAGTACCACATCAACTCTGTCCACTCACAGGTAAGTCTGACTCAAGACCTGGTTAGGTCCTGGTTTAGTCCTGGTGTGGTCCTGGTGTAGTCCTGGTTTAGTCCCGGTCTCTGTACATATTCTTCTCTGTTCTTTTCCTCAGGATTGGTTTGTCACGAATAAAAAACACTTAAAATCCGCTCCTAAAGATTGCCCTCACTCCTTCGACATTCATCACCACCATCATCACCAGCAGCAGCACCGGCACGTCCACACGCCCTGCCCCCACCAAATGCAACCTCTGCCGCCCCTGCACCACATCGCCGCCCAATCGCACCAAAACCCACAGATCTACCACGACGAGGACCCGGCGCCTCGCCAGGGAGACGCCCGGAGCCACCATCAGCACCACGTCCGCGGGCCCGAGCTCTACACGCCTATGGAGTCTCCACGGACCTCGGAGCAGGCGCGACAGGAGCAGGCGAGGCAGGAGCAGGCGCAGCAGGAGCAGGTGCGACAGGAGCAGGCGAGGCAGGAGCAGGCGCGGCAGGAGCAGGGGCGGCAGGGCGGAGCGGCCAGGTGCGGGTTTGAGTACGGAGGCCTGCGTGGAGAGAGCAGAGCGGACGGGCAAAGTGGGTTTTCTCTGGAGATGGAGCGTCAGATCTGGGATGAGAAGAGGCGAATGCTGGAGTCTGTGGAGATCGTGAGGAGACAACCCACCTGAAAGATTGTGTTGGCATTTAAAGGTGCACTGTGTAACTTTTCTGGAGGGACAGTCTGCTACCTAGTGTTGGTTTCTTAATTTTGCCGTTCTTTGACCTCACTTCAAAAAAGATTGGCCAAAATATTTGCTATAAACACTTAAATCTCTCAGAAAATGACTTAAAAGTGGAGAAATGCTCTTTCTGCCTGGACAGATCATTTTACTCAAAAATAAAACTCTAGACTAGAATTAAGCACAGAATCTCAAGCGAGTAGATCATAAATCTGAAAACAAGATGAATAACCTGATGTAAGTTTTAAAATCTTGACCAGATCAGAGAAATCTGCAGTGCGAGCAGTTTGGGTGACATCACACTCAGTCCACTTTTATGTACAGTTTGTTAAAAAGACTGAAGTCTGAAAAAAGTTCCTGAAAGTTTAACTTTTCTGTGTGAAGTTTGCATGTTCTCCTTGTGTCTCTAGTTTCTCCTGTCAGCCCAAAACATGCACAACAGGTCAAATCCTCCAGCTCAGGTCCAGACCAAGACCAGCCCAAGATCTGGAGGTGGTCCCACGGCTCCTGACAGGTGTAACCTAAAGACACTGGAGGGTGGGTCAAAATCAGGTTTAACCCAGTTTAATGCCATCCTTTGGAACATTCCAGACAAAGCAATAACATCTCCATGGAGACGAGCAGGTAACAAACCCTCCACCAGAAAAGTTACACAATGCGACTTTAACTGTGGTTGCAGATTGACGTGGTAAAGGGCCTGTAGAGGACAGGTCGAAACACGGACGAAGAGTTGATTTGCAAAATGGATCTTCAGTTTGTAAATGTTTTTTTTTTTTCAGTGTTCACAGATATTATCGATAAAAAATGTGGATTTGATCAAAGAAGAATGGGATAATTATATTTGAGTGTAATTATATTTACACTAAAATAGAGACTATTGAAAACGCTGTATTTGCAAATGGACTCTTCAGATTTGTTGACCTGGTTTATGGTTAATATCTCTGTAATTACTAGGCCTATCCACATGAAACAAAGCAAAATTATATAGATTTGTGGACCCAATTCCAAACAGAAATAATGAAATTTCTTTCAAACATTATCAACTCCCCACAGAGTAACCTCCACCCCTGCCCTGCATCTGGAAATCGATGTCTTTTACTCCTATTTTTTTCCTTCAACTTTATTCCTCAAATTTTAAACTTTCTACCAAAAAAAAAACAAAAACAGTTTTTAGCGTCCACAAACTAAAGAAGCTGTATGTCTTAGGCCAGAATTGTACTTCTGAACACAAGAGACTGTTAGTTGTCAAATTGGTAGTTCTTTTATTGTTGTAAAGTGTCTTCACTTGTTGACTTTTCTAACTCTGTCCCAGATGTGCTTTGGTAGGCGACTGTTGTTCATGTTTTAAATGTTTAAATTAGTAAAGGTTGACATATGCATTTGTCTAACTCGTCTCTGGGTTTTTATTTAAATCACTGGTTTATGAATTTGATCCAGAAACAAATCTTCATAAAGGGTAGGGTTGGAGAGAGAAGCTTAGAAGAAGTTCACCTGCTTCCCCCACAGAGAGACTCTTTTCTCATCATCTCAAACTGCCCTGGCACAGATCAACTGACCCCACCGGACCACTCCTGTTAAACCTTCACCCTAATCCTGAGACATTTGACTGAGAAACTCAGGTCTGGGGGTTGCATGTTTCTTTAGACCTGGTTTAGTCCTGGTTTATTTCTGGTTTAGTTCTGGATTAGTTCTGGTTTAGTTCTGGTTTTGTCCTGTTTAGAGCTATTGTTCTGTGGAGCCTATTTTTGCACAAACAGGAGCTTTGAATTTCTAGTTCTGATTGTTTTTGTCATGGTGATAGTTTGTGTCAGCTACATTTTTCACTCTTTATTTCTTCCGCTCTAAAATAAAAGGTGCAGTTCCCGTGTGGTCCAGGGAGAGGCGCTGTGTTCAGTCACAGTAACATGGCGCTGGCGCATTTCTCCGTGTGACATTTGGTTCTTTTTAAACATAAAAATCAGACTAAAGTCGCGTTCAGTCCGTGTGAATGTGGAGTATAAAGCTTTAGTGCGGGACATTCACACACTCGGGGTTGTGCTGCGCAGGGTTCGGGCTCGGTTCGCTTCGGGACTCGATCTCACGGCTCCGGCTCCGGATCAGAGCCGCGTTTGTGCGGCGCTTTCCCGACTCCGCCACAGAAAAAGAAGCTCCAAACCTCCGCCAGGTCCGTTTATAAAGAGTCCACAGCGCCGAGGGCGGCTGGAGCATCATTATATGTATATTTATCTTTACATTTATGTTTAAATTGACTTAAATTAGTTTTAGACAAATCACGAAGCAGAAAAACCTGTTAGCCCGAGTTAGCATCGTTAGCTAAAGAGCATGGCTGCAGCTAAGTTATGACATCCACCGGGTTTAAGTTAATAATTCTGATATTTATCACCTAAATATTTAGCCGAATGTACGTTTTAATTACACTGTACATTATTTGGTACCCAGATTCGTTGTAGTTGAATGAATATTGCTAATATTACTCCTGAAACTTGTAAAATTAGAAATTTCGAAACACAGTCTGGTTTGTAGCTGTCACTGTCACTGTGCTGGTGTCAGGTCAGGTCACTGCTTCAGTTTGACTCCAGGAAATGCTATATTTTACTTGAGTTTATCATTTAGATGCCATGGACGTATAAAAATCCCCTAATAAAAGTCTAGAATAGATTAAAAGGTAATATATTAAATTGAATTGTCAGTTATAAACAGTTCCTCGTTTATTATTGGTTGAATCGTTAATATTCATGTTCCAGTTTCCTGTACATTAAGTTCTGTGTTAATTTATTGTATTTCATGTTTCATTGTTGTATTTTGTTTTAGATTGAGTCAAATAAAACAGTGGAAAGGTTGTTTGTGGAGAAATGGAGCAGTTTTGACAAAAGATGCAAACTCCAGGCCCAGCGGACGCCTCCTCCGCTCCAGGTGAGACTCAGAAGTTCTGTGGATTCACTGATTTTGATTCTGCTCTCGTGTCCTCTTTGATTGTGTAGTTTGATAAGCAGTTTGGGGATTGAACCCACAACCTTTTTGCTGAGAGAAAGACAAACTAACCCCATCTGCCACTAACCTCAGCTCGTTGACCTCAGTTACACACCTTTTTTATATAATATATAAATAAAATAAAAATTCACAGTCTTTCATAAAAAACACACAGCAAACGTGTAAACACGACTTTTTGGACATAAAAAATTCTTCATTCAGGGTCTTAGCTACAAAAGTGCAAAATTTCAAATCTGTAAGGAAAATAAAAATGTCCTTATTGCCTCAACACAAAAAAAAGTGCAATGGCATTTTGACTCGCTGCACTCTTTGGCCCAATCAAAATGAACGGATGCATGAGTTCGGCGGAAAACAAAGTTCCTTTTGGACACTCATTTTCCCTTCGTCATCATGCAGTGAGTGATGGAAGATAATGATGGAAATTTGCCCGGAAAGCCACAACTCTCAGCTTTTCAATTAAAAAAAAGTAAATGTTTATCTTTTATGGTTGGAAAGTTCTGTGCAGTTATAGAAAACACATTCCCAGGTGTCGTACGCGATACCGTCGGTCTGGAAGGGTTAAATTGATAAACTTTGGTTTGCCACCATTTCTTCAATATTTAAAGAGGTGGTTTAATATATTTTTTTAGCGTTCTATAGCAAGTTATAAGGTTTTTCCCTCATCAAAATGTCTGAAAAGACATTTTAGAGTCATCCATGCATGTTTGAATAATCTAGCAATCTCTCCTGGGCCCTGTACGATATGGTACGGAACTTATAAACATGTTTATATTCACTGTAACACGTCTTATTTAATATTATCACACTTGTACTACAATAACGTCTCCATGGAGACAAGCAGGTGATAAACCCATAGAAAAAGTTCCATAGTGCAGCTTTATACACTGCAGTGTAATGCAGGGCTAATTCTAGTTCATTTTGTTTCTTTCAGAGCCAGAATCTGCTCCTGATGCGTCTTTAGAACTTTCTCCCAGTTTACGAGGAAGACAACGCAAAAAAAATCCAAAATATTTAGACTACCAAGTGAGTGAAGTGTACGACGGACAAACTCCAGCCAGGAAACGATCTCGAAAGTCAAAAGTCCAATCACATGGAG